GTTAGAGTAGTTTTGTCACCACTCTGGCCAAGTGTTGACTTTCTGAGAGAGCTTATACGTTTGTCTGGCATATCTGTAGTCTGGCCATAACTTCACTGCTTCTTTGTCATTTTTTTTAAAGCAGTCTGTTTTACAGGTATTCAGATCACAATTTTGACAAGTATTAGACTTGGAAAGTTTAAACCCTGGATTATACTCTGTGCAAAGTACTTGTATTCTGCAGTATTTGTCTTCTGATAATAGAATTTATTTTCTTAATGTTGTGCATGGAATATTCTTCTCACTCTAGAGACTGGTAATGATATACCACAATCAACATAAGTTTTGTTATGGTGGCTTCTTTATCTTGGAACACTACAGATATGGTCATGAACTGATTGTATTTGTTCAGGAGTGATACTTAAATTTGTGGTTTAGATACTTGACTCTTTCATCTGGTTTTTCTGCCATTTTCCTTCTTTGATCTGATAGATGTTATTATTATTTATGTGCCTTCATGAATCTCTGTATACTGTGAACTATCATAAAGTAATTAAACACTATGCCATGAAGACATATGGGGGAGTGGATGTACAGATCCACATATTCTTGACCTTGGCACTAGTTGGAGGTGAATGGTCAGCCTCACACCCCAGCTGGTTTACACCTGTGGAAATAGCCACAGGTACCCATTGGATATGAGGCTGGGTGGGCCCCAGAAGTGGTAGGGATGACATGGGGAGGGGAAAAATCTTGCCCTTATCAGGACTCAAAATCTGACCTTTTGGCCATGCAGCCTGTAGCCAGTCAGTATACTACTAACTACATTATCCTGGCTCATTATTCTTTGCACGATATACTTTTTGGGGGGAAATCCTGTTTTCAGGAAAAGAAGTACTGATTTACATAAAAATGCTTCAAGTCCCAAAACAATTATAAAATCATTGCTTTGACTCTCTGAAGCAGAAATCCATGCTTTTTCATGTAGATGAATGGAATGCCAGGTCTCCAACTTCAGACTTCCTTATTAACTGTGTCCTTCATTTATCACTGTCCCTGTGAAGTATGGAATATGGAATGTGTATAGCACCTTCTAAATAATCCTTGGATCAGAAATGCCTTAGCATTAAATAAACATACCAAATTCCTATAGATTCCATCTGTAAAATGTGATCTTGGATTGAAAGTAATTTTGTTTTAAAATAACGTATGTTAATTCACCTTTTTCTATGGTTTTGTCTTTGTTTACCTTCTTCTCAAGCTTTCTCTTTATAATTTATGTTGTTTCCATTACTGGTATATTTGTGTACAAATTTGTGGCTTCTAATGACAGTGCTTATGCTGAATCTGATATTAAGTTTTATAAGTTTCCCTTTATATATTGTCCAGTGTTTTTACATTATATTTATATTTAATTTTATTCCTTGTGTTAGTGCATTTTTTATGCTTTGCTATTTTGTATGTTGTGGCACTGGTGAATGGACTTTATGCTTAAGTATTTGTACTTCGCTCTCAGGCATTTGGATTCATGTGTACAAATTGGTCTTTGAGCTAAGAGGCACCATGGTGACTGACCAAGATGAAATGTGTTTTCAGGTGAAGTTGTGTGAAGTGTTGTGATAAAATGTAGATGAATAATTGAAAGAAATAACCTTTGTAGAAAGCACCATAGAAATGCATTCAGTTCATATTTTATAACATGCTGATTTTTGTGGAGGAATTGTTACAATGGAATTGGACCTCTGCTTTTCAGTGTCTACATAAACGACTTGTGTGATTTCAATTAAGCACTCCAGGTACCTACTCTTTGCAGATGACATTAAAATTTACTGTGCTATTAGCTGTCCTGAAGATTGTAATCTTCTGCAATCTGACGTTAACTGTATACGTAGATGGTGTGCAGCAAACTATATGAAAATCAGCGTTAACAAAACCAAAGTTATAACATTCTCCAGGAAAACTAACTATTTGATATACGAAGACCTGGGCATATACCTTGATTCTGAACTTCATTTTCATGATTATTTTAATTTTATATTTTCACATTGTATTAAGATGCTAGATATAATTCGCAGTATCACCTTTAACTATTCAACCCTTGGATGCATATTCATATTATACTTTAGTTAGATCCAAGGTTGAATATGCTTCAGTAGTTTCGAATTCCATTACGTCAACTGATGCAAACAAACTAGAACGCATTCAGCAGAAATTTATGGCTCTATGTTTTAAAAGTTTTTTCCCTCAAATAGTTTACTGTTATGATTTTGCTTTAGAACAATTGAAATTGCACACCTTGCAAAAGAGGAGATATCATCTTGATGCACTTTTCCTTATTCAAGTTTATCATGGTTCTATACTTTGCCCTTCTCCTTTGGAAATTGTTGGCCTTCGGGTCCCTGTTCGATATATCCGAGATTTTCCTATGTTCAGTGTCTGTTCTGTTAGTAAATTGCCCCTCTGCTAGATGCGCTTCTGCTGCTAATGTTGTCTATAGGGATGTTGACGTCTTTGGACCAAAAACTCTGTTGATGAAACACCTTATACTGAACTAATTAAACTACTGTTATTATCATTATTTTTATTAATTTCATTATATTATTATTATTATTATTATTATTATTATTATTATTATTGTTGTTGTTGTTGTTGTTAGATTTCTCCATGTTGGCATGGCGCGTCCTGAGGTTACGGATGGAGGAGACGGCCTCCAGATATGGAGGGTAGCTGCGAATATATTGAATAAGCAGTCGTGGGCAGCCNATTCGTGCTAGCTTTGTAATTGGCCTCTGTGCTGTTAAGTTTGCGCGTAAATAAACATGAATTGAATTGAATCATCATCATAATCGTCATTGTTATTGTTATTTTTGTTATTATTATTATTATTGTTGTTGTTGTTGTTGTTGTTGTTGTTGTTGAACTCTATACCAAAATGAGCTCAGTACCCTATCATGACAGTAACTTTAGGGCACACTTAAAATAAAACTTGTCTGCAGCAGAATATAAATTAGAAAGAAACGTTTGTCGAACACAGTTTCGATCATCCTTAGACTACAGAATATAAACTAATGTAAAATTGCCTCTAGTAACTGCAGCTGTTTTAATGCAGAAATTAAATTGAAGGAACAACAATTTTAATAGAAAGTAGTCTGGTACAATATGGTATTTATTTTCATTGAAACTTCTTCTGTTGTGTAATTTATCTGAGAGGAACTTTCCTGTTTGAAATGGATAAGAAGTAAGATCAACTGTGTATAAAATTTGTGCAGAATGCTTAGATTAATTAACAAAGAAAATTCAGAAAGAGAAATATTAGGTTGTTGCAAAATAAATTTCAGTGTTGTTTGAAATTTTGAAGCTTACTGCAAAATAAATGATAATCAAATTTAGTCTGTATTACGAGTATATATCATTTTGAGATTTCGCTCTGTTTAACTGTGATGACGTTTTTATTTTATTATTTATTTTTCTCGAATTGAAAGTACCAAAAGGAAATTAAAAAGAAGAAATTCATGTAATATATTTGTATGAGTTCAAACTTGTACAAACACAGTGCAGACAGCATGAAATCTAAACAGAATATTCGGTGAGTAAGCAGTGAGCTCACAGTTCAACTTTGGTTGAAGAAGTTACATAGTGGTGATTTGAGTCTTAAAGGTAAGGAGTGTCAGGGACGTCCGCTAGTCATTGACAGTAATCAGATGAGGGTCTCAGAGCTTGACGTTGACCTTGCAGCAGTTCCCTACCATTTACCTCAAATAAGAAACAGAAGGAGCTCAACAAGTGGGTTCTGCACAGATTTAATGAAAGCCAGAGAAATCACCATTATGAAGTGTGCTCTGTGCTGATTTTTGAAAAGAGACCTTTTCCCTATCGAATTGTGATGTGCCATGAAAAGTGGATTGTATACAACAACTGCAGACAATCATCACAGTAGCTTCATTATAATGAAATGCCAGAGCACTTCCCAAAGCAAAAGTTGTATCAAGGGAAGGTTATGCTCATTTCTTGGTGGTCTGCAGGTGGTGTCATCCAGTAAATGTTCCTGAGGGTGAGACTGTTACTGCAGAGAACTATTGTTAAAAAATTGACAAAATGTGAAAAATAGCCAGCTCTGGTCACTTGAAAACGACAAGTCTTGCTTCTTGATAATAACCAGACCACTTGTTTCACAACAAACGCTCCAGAAGCTGAACAAATTAAGCTATGAAACTGTCACTGATTACTGCTTTTACAAGCATCTGGGCAAATTCTTGGAGACGAAAATTGTCAGTAATCAGGCAGAAGCAGAGAGTGCCTTCAACAAATTTGTTGGTTCCAGGACCTCAGATTTGAGCCACAGTAGAATATTGAAACTTGTTTCTTGTTGGCAAAGGTGTGTCAATTGTAATGGTTTTTATTTTGATCAGTGAAGTTTACTATAAGCTAACTTCTAATCTTCTAAAATGTAAGGTTGAAAACCAAAATTTCTTTCACAACAACAAATTCAAAAGAACAGTGAAAATTTGCACTGTTAGGTGACATAGTATACATATATAGCATGAATTTTTTACTTGTGATGGGATCATTGATACATCCTATGTAGTATTTTTATGTATTAGTAAATGCCTTTGTTTACTGCACCTTAACTCAGGCAGTTGCCAGCTTCTGAATGCAGAAGACCAGATTTAGTCCCACTGTAATCCATGTGGGATTTGTGATGGGAAAATTGGCATTGGGGCAGGCTTTTCTCTGAGCATTTAAGTTTTCCCCTGTTAGTTCTCATTTACCAGTGCTCCATTCTCATACATCATGAAGGGCTGGTACAATAGGCCCACTTGTGGCCACAGTCCCTAAGACAGCTCACCTCATTCCTACATTTAGGAAGTACCTGTGCTAAATAGTAGTGACCTACCTGCAATGGAAAAATGCTCAGGGCCCTTTATGTTCCATTATATGTATTCCTCACTGTATATTGTTTTGTATTTTCTTTTAATTGGTTTTGTACATTCATTTTACCAGCTTTTTCCTTCTGTTTTCAGTGTCCCTACACTGAATGATGTTTGCAAGCATCTCGTTTGATCGTGAGCTATCCTTTGGAGGCAGTAGCAGGTTTTAACAAGCCACCATTAACGCGGGTCTGCCAGAAGAACATTTTATACGTCTTACATTTGAATTTGTTTTTGTGTGAATTGAATTGTGCAGTATAGACACCAGCATTATTATTTGACAGTCACAGTGGAAACCACATGAGAATGCTTTGCCTTGTTGCTTAACTCCAAACTGAAATTCATCATTTTTCCCCCCAGACTTCAGTTTATTCCTGTCCTCCCAGCTTCTTGCTCTTCCAGTGTTCCAACCAGAAATCTTAAGGTATTTCATGTTTTCCCCATCATCTTTGCACATAAGGCTTAATTTAAAATGTGTAACTGGTTAATTTATAATTAAGTGTATTCTTTCCTGTATTTTTTCCTGTCATATGTGATTGGTTCACCTTGTGGTTTCTTAAACTGTTTGTGCTACAAAATCTCAAAACCTGCTTTTTTTTGACACATTGTGCATTAGCTTCCATGTTGTAAATGACATGGAAGGAACATTTTTAAAATGTTGGTATTTATTCTTAATGAAATTTGTGTATGGATTGAAGTATTGAGTTATGTGAACTACACTTAACAACTTTATTGATGCAATGGCTGACTTACATTCAGTGGAGGCTCAGTTCAAGTCACGATTGATGTGTTTCCTGGATTTTGTTATTTTCCCTGGGCAAATGTTTGGACAATATATGAAAACAGACCATGACAGCTCCTTCTTAATTCATTGTAATAAAACATGTTTTACATTAGTAGTTGATACAGCTTTTTACCAGCTGACTTCAACTTTACATGCACTTGAGAAATGCCTTGAAAATGTAGTGAATAAATGAAATAATTTTCCAGTAAACTGTTCTTTTATCAGCATGCATTTGTGAGGTAATGGTCATGAAATCCAAACCAAATTTAACTGCAGGAATATATGTACCATTATGCTCAGAATTACTGGGTTTTTGGACCCTTTAGAATTAATATGTACCGTTGTGTTTCAGCCTTGTATTTAACTACATTGTTGCATTGTAATGAGCACATATTTGTACAGAAGTATGGTTTCTAAGAAGAAATTATGAATTGGAGAATAAGCAAAAAAGTTAAGGAATATTAATCACAGGAAACAAGTCCCCAGGTCTTTATTTTAATTTTAAAATATTTGTAATATGTCAGTTTAAATGATTTTATGGTTGTGATTTTGTAATTGACGTATCAGAGGATGATATTCTGTTCTTTACTTCACTTCTGGGATGGTTTCCATTCATTAGCTTTGTTCATGAAATAATCTGACCCCTTTTTATATAAGCAGACCTCTTAATATGAAAGTGAATCTCGTGAAGGTCATTACATGAAACATGAAGAAGGAGGAGGAGCTCAGTCTAGTTAGGTACTGTTATTTTGCACAGTGTTGGTACAACATGGCTGCAAGTATAAGAACTCAAGTTGTTCAAAAGACAATTCAGAATACTATCAAGGACACAGCATGAGAGTTACACATATATTTATAGGATTAATATCAGCTAATGTCTAATTTTACAGGGAACAAAGTCATTTTACTACTACTACTACTGCTGCTGCTGCTGCTGCTGCTATTACTTATACCTCCTTCCAGCCGCACTATGGTGGTTGTGGCGATAGTGGTAGTAGCAGCAGCAGCAACAATAGTATATGCCCACTGCAAAAAGTTGTATTAACTAAAGTTATAAATATTTTTCCTATAAGCTGGGAGAGACATTTGACATGTGAATCGGTTTCAGATTTTCATTTCACTAGTAAATTAATTCTTGTCTGCCTTTAATATGTAAATCAATACAGCTGTGTGTTTATTTTATTTCACTGAACCAGCAACTTATTTTAAGATTCACTTGCCTAAGCTCAATCCTAGGGCAGAACTGTGATGTAATTTTTTCCATGCCAATCACAATTCCACCAGTGCTCACTATCCTGAGGTGCTTGACAGACGTGAGCAGTTGACACATTATCAACTTCAGTCATCAGTTTAGGAGCACACGGTAGTGTAGTTGATTGAGGCACTATGCTATATGCTGGAAGGTCGCAGGTTCAAGTCCCAATGAGGTCATTGAATTTTTTCAATTGACCTAATCCTTCCAGCCGCACTATCGCCCTGGGGTCGACTCAGCCTCTAATAGAAATAAGTACCATGAATATTCTTGGAATATTCTTCAGGGTAAAGGACGCCCAGCACATAAGGCTTACAGTCTTGCCGCCATCTATGGGCCGATTGTCTAGAAAATGTTGGAGTCTCGACTACTCGCAACCTTATGGGCCTCCACGGCCTGTTACAGGGATACCTTTACTTTTACAGGCATCAGTTTGAACTTTCACCTGACTGGACTGGGAACACAGTGATCTCTTGAAATATTAAAATTACAGTCATCTGGGATGTGATGTCATGTAGGTGGTAGGCACTGACATTTTGGAAGAGTATGTTGCCTTTATCTTCACGGAAAAAAGTTTGCCACTTTTTTTTACTGTGAAGAAGAAGGCAACAGGTTCCTTTGAAACACTGGTATCTGCCTACCAAATTACATGATTCCACATCCCAGAAGACTGTAGTGTTAATGCTAATTTAGTGATGACCTGCCACTGTGAACAGAAGGCCACATAATGGGGCCATTTGTATTGAACTGAACCGTAAGGCAGGAAGTAAGTACTTCTGGTGTATACATATTTGGTTTTGTTGAGTGGGATGGGAGAGGCCCAAACTTCTAAACTGTGCCTGGGCTCCCATAAATGTTACTGTACTGATGAATGAAGTTATGTTATTTAAATGTGGATATAGGATGGACACTTTTTTATTTGCATATAACTTCTTGTGTTAAATACTGAAATAAATTTATAACTTATCTGTTTAAAATTTGTGTTGTCTAGGGTTGCTTACCAGAATTCTGAATATCAATCTCTAATAGTGTGTGTGTACATTTGTTTAAGTCATTGTTCTTAGATTATGTCAGGTTTTACCTGTCCATATCTAAAACACTATGTTGACTGGAATGTCTCAGGTTTATACCACTAATGACAGAAAGACTCATTTCTGAAATGCCATAATTCAAAATGGCATGTGGATAAAGTTTATACTTCTAGGTCCTTCCATTCTCTCTCATTAGACATGATACCAAAACTATGAAACATTTGGCAGTACCTTTATCCCACTGCCCAACTTCTTACCCTGGTTACTGAAGAAGGTTCATCTATGTCTTCAGTCTCTGCAAACCCCAGTGGATCCCTCTTCTACAGAATCAGTGCTGTTACACACTTTCCATCATATTAGTCTCTCAGAGTGACACTTCTTAGTGTATTCTTCTGAACTGAATGGCAGAAGTAAATTTCGAAATTGTACGCTCTATAAAATACCATAAAATGCAGAATTAGACATACCTGATGCAAATAAAATCAATTAGTAATGAAGTGAAATATTTGACCAGTTCAAGACTAACTTGGCACTGTTTTGTTTTTATAATGTTAGATATTTCATATATTTGCAACTAATTGATGGTAATGATTTTCAGCACTGATTCAATATACGAGTAATTAGAATAACCCCATGTTCTTGTTGTGGAAAAAACGTTAGGATTCAGTAACAAAAATCTAAGATTTGAGACTGACCAAATTCAGTGCAGATTTTTCCACTTTCCTTTCCCCTTGCATGGCAGAAATAAATTTTGTGAATATTAGAAATGCTGGACCCTTGCCATTCTTCACCGTCAGAGACGGCGTGTGATAATGAAGGGCCGAGGCAAATATTTGAACCAAAGAGAGGAAGTAGTGGAGAAAACTACATAATGTTTTTCACTATTTTTATTCTTAACTTCTTTAGTAATCTTAGAACAATTTAATTAAGAGAATGAGATGGGCCGTACATTGTATGACACTTGAGTGAACAATAACATGTACATAAAAGGGAGGTTAACATTAAAATTGATACTGGGGAAGTGTGTGGAATTGTAGATGGGTCAAGACAGGATCCAGTAGTGAACATTCAGATTTTGTTAAAACAGAATTTTTTGACTAGCTGAGCGACTATCAAGTGCTTATGGAAAGCAGTGCCTTATATTCTGGGTGATGCAAAAAAATTATGCTCTTCTTAAATAAACAGCTGTGCAAGTATGAATGAAACTCACATAAATTGTGTAGAACGTACTTAAGTATGTGAATAAAAGATTTACATGGTTTGATTGATTGGTCGCTTCAAAAAATATTTTCCATTTCAAATGTTAAAAAGGCTTTTTATTTTTATACTACATGCTCTTTGAAAGTGTGAGATGGTACTACAACTGACAAGACAGGTTTCTTTGTTATTAATCATAGTTAATTATGTTAGATTAACAATTTCAGCTCCAGGAGTTCCTGCAACAAGGAACTGAAAATGTGTTGCCTCATATCAGACATCAGTCAGTGGAAGAGACTGATTCAAGTTATAATGAAAAAAATGGAAGACCTCTTCAATATCAGTTCTGCTAAAAATGATCAAATTATAAATGTAATGCCTGGTTTTTTCCATTAAAAGTTAAAAATAGTTTTCTGTATCATGTTATGCACTTACATACATGTGTAATGCAACTTTATTTACAATTACTCTTTAACTTAAAATAATATTAAAATGAAAATTAAACTGCTACATGTTTTGGCCTTACTTGGCCATCCTCACGCAACTGTTCACTGTTGAAATTGTTACACTGCATTAGTTCTGAAGTTAAAATATTCCAGTGGTATTCCATTTTCATCATTCACTCATTAAAATACATTTGCTTGAGAACATTACCTTTTATCTTTACTTGCACCAACTTCTTCCAGCGTCCATGTTTTTTGTGTTGTTTTGTATAGCCCTATGAATATTGGTGTGATGTTATCAATGTTATTTTTATGTGCCACCTAAATGTGTATGTTTCCACACAGTTGCTCTAGTGAAATGTATGTCACATTATTATTATTATTATTATTATTATTATT